AAATTTTCGAGCCTTCCCCCCCCCCCCCAAAATTAATAAACATTCAAAACCTGGATGTAATTTGTAAATCTTCAATTTCTAAAAAAAAAAAAAAGAAGAGAACATTGAATTTTTCTTTAATTATTAACTTTTTAACAATTCACAATATTATTAAATTTAATATCAGAAGAGTTTTTATTTATTTGATGAGTGGATTTAAAATTAAAACCAGAAAATAAAATTAATACAATTAATTTTTTACCTTGTTACTTGAAAAATGATTTTGCTTTATTTTCACTCTATTTTTTATCACATATTGTTGCGTCTTTTTCGAAAAATATAATAAAATTTTCCCCCTAGTTAAGATTTCCCAAGGTTTTGCCTGATTTTCAAAATTATTCCCCAGATCCCAAGGGGGGTCGTGAATTCCCAAGATCTTGGGAAATTTCCCAAGGTGTGGTAGCCCTAAACAGGATTTGTAATTCAGTTATTTTTTTGTTGTTGTTTTGGAATGCTGAGACAATTCTTAAAAATATGCGAGAGTTACTTACCCTGATTTGATGCGTCAAATTTATACATTCAATTTTCATTGCAATTTTAGTCCTTACTGCTGTTAAAATTTTAGAATCATTTACTTAATTCAATAATCCATTAATAACACTATCGACCGCCCTCACATGTATAACAGTATTATTTCGTTCTTTAATAACAAAAATAGTGAAATGAAAGCTTTTAAAATTCAGGATTTAAAACGAGAAACACGAATCGGTATCACAGCAAATAATTTGTCAGAAATTTTGCAGAAAGGGAAACAAAAATTAAAGGTTGGTTAAAGATGGGCTTAGGGTGGCACTTATTACAGGGCAGCTTTATTGCCTACTTGATATACATTACTATTTTTTAAATGTATTCATCATCATGTCCCTTAGTCCTTGGACCGTTCGGGTGTCACAGAATCTGTGACAGATGACATGTGAACCATCCTCCTCCATTAACTCCATTCATCTCTGTCTTCTACACTACGCCCAGTGTTAGTCCTGTCCACTCTTTGATGTTAAGCTCACATCTTTTTCTTTGTCTTCCTCTTCTTCTCCCTCCTCTTGTGGTGCCCTGCAATATTTATTTGGCAAGCCCTTGTTTCCTTGTTACGTGGCCATACCATTGTAATTGTAGTTTGCGTTTTTTCACAGTCACCAGTAGGTCATCGTACTCTCCAATTGCCTGACTTTCTTTCACTGTATCATTGGAGATATGGTCCCTATAGCAGATGCCAAAAATGTATTACTATTACCTATTTTATATATATAGGGTTCAGGTTAGGCATAGGGATCAATTTAGGGCATTAGTCGTGGCCATCGATAAAATAGTGGCATTCGTTCTTTACATTTACCAGACACACACACACATATATATTATATAATACTAAACTAACAAGTGTGTCAGTAGGCAGGGTAATCCTCAGAACCACTTTCCCAAATTTCATTAAATAATTAAATATACTTTTCATTAGCAAGTGCCTGAAAAGCTGCAGATAATTGGTGATATAATTGTTTACGGCCAATGGACCTTTTAATTTTATGCATGTTTTGAAACTCACGATCTTCATCATCATCTCCGGAAAAAAGAAAAAGAAAGAAAAATGCAAGAGACCAAAAGAGAAACCAAAGTTATCTAAGTTTGTACTTGCTGGCTATGGTATTGTTTATTTTATTTTACTACAAGTAATAATTAGTCTGCAAACAAAATTAGAAGTAAACAATTACATCACCAATTACTGGTAGCTATTAGCTGGTAGCCAGGCACTTTCTAACAAAAAAGTATTCTATTTGACATTTGGGACCACCATTCTGAGGATTACCTGGCATTTGTTTCCATTTGGAATAGTAATAATACTATTAATAATTAACTCTATTACGAGGTTAATGAAACATGAGCCACCCTATTTGTCACAAACTCTAGCTACTCCAATGAGTTCATTCATAGTTACATAGGGATATGTCTATTGTAGGTAGTTAGAAGTCTAACCTCCAAACATAATAACATAATAAGTCTAAAACTAAAAGAATGCTTATATTATATTAAACCAAGCTGTTATAAAACAAGTTTTATTAGAGTTAGCATCAAAATAGGGTAAGCCAAAGTAGTGAGTAGGCCTAATCAAATCTATTTTCAAAACAGCATTTTATGACTCAAGATCACATTTGTAATGCAGGCTCATTGTTGCAGAGCTGAAGTAAAAATTAAATTACAATAGCTTAACTTTATTTTCTTAATAGTCTTGTTAAGTCATTATCATCATGATATCATAAATGTATTATTTATTTAAAACAAACTGTCATTAAATACAGTTTAAAAAAATTTAATTTAGCATTACTAGATATGGTTGTTTCTTTATTTTATAATCTGAATTCAATCAGTAAAATCTTTTTTATGCTTTACTGAGTTAGTTTGACTTTTATTTTTTTGCTTTATAATACATATTCCAAGATTTCTAATGATGTCCAAGTGACGGTAGTTCTTGAAAAAGATGGAACAGAAGTGACTTCTAATGACTACCTTAAAACCCTTGATCCCCAAACTGTTTTAGTATTTTTGAAACCAGGAGAATCCTGGATGGAAGGTTTGTAAGCAATACTAATAAAGCCAGTCTGATTGGAAGATACAGTTTAAATGTTGCTTAATTTTATTTTTTTTAATTAAACTGATTTAAATATGTAACATGTAGTATTCAAAGATACATTTGTTGCACGTATGTTTGGAAAATAAGTCAGAAGAAAAGTTCAGAGCTTTACTTACACAAGAAGGCTTATATGACCTTTATACTAATCTTTGAGATTTCTGGCTTACACCTGACAATACAATCATTTTTTTTTTAAAACATGTCGTAATTTTTTTGCTGCATCAGTATTTCTTGTTAATGTGACACTTGAAATTTGCATGTTTAGTTGGTGTGGGAATTTCCCATCTTAGACTTTGCTTAGACAGAAGAAACAATGGATGAATGCTTCTAATAATGCTCAGACTGGCACATATCTTTTTCATCTTTTCATTCATTTAAATAAATAGCACTGTCTTCTGCTTTTTCTGATTAATTTTTCTTTTAAAGTTTTATAGCTTTAAAAAGTAATGACAACTTGTTTTTCAAACAGATATTCACAGTGTGGTGAAATGACTTCTATTGGTAGGTGTAGGTGGATAAATCTTGAGTTTATCCCTGCTCATGTCTAGGAGATTTATGTCTGATTCAATTCACACACCAAGGGACATATTATGATTATTCACTTATGCATATATATCACAGGAATCCATTACAAAATTTCATGAAATGAATAACTTATTTGTTTAGATAGGCTCTACAACACTTCATGGAAGAACAGTCTATAAAATAGCTTAGATCTACCTTTGCATTTAATTTATATCTAGGTTCTATGGACATGGGTCTACCGTAATCCCAAACATTCAACATAATTGTCGACTGCATTGTAACAAAATTTTATATGATCAGACCATTTAAAACTTAACTTATCAATATAACATGATTGATGATCTTGCTTGATCGATCAATGTAATGAGGTCATTTCAATGTTGAAAGTGGTTTTATGGTAAAACACAAGATCATACTTATTCATTCGTATGGGACTGATCATACATTGACATGATTAAAACAAACTTTGAATACAGGTAGTAAATTGTATAATAAAAAAAAGGTTTGAAATCAAAGGCTTCATCAACTCACTAGGCTAGATATACCGGTTTCATTCTCACGAAGTAACGAGGTGGTCACTATGACATGAAGATCTAGAAAGTCTGTTCTTAATTCTACCATAGTATATATATATAATTAAGGTTATATGATTTGTCATTGGCTGATTTCAGTCATTTGTTGAACAAGACCAATGAAGTAAATCTTTAGAAACATGACCAATATTTTCCAGGAGTTATTTCACTCATGGCATAGGGCTGGGGTTTTTTTACTGCGCATTTCATGACATGTTTCAACGCTCCCATGATAACATGGGGAATAACTCATACTAAACAATATAAAAGGGGAGGGTGGTGACCTCAATAATTCACTAGATTTCATCACACACTGTCGAAAATAAACCTTAGTTCTCATCTCCCACATAAGAATCAGGTATAAGTAACAGATATGTGAATTACAAAACTTATTTAATGAGAATTAAAATAAAATTATGTGTAATTTCTCATCACAGCTGGGGAACAAGTCTATCATTCCCTTAACAAACTTTATAACAGAACAAAACAAACAGACGTTGTCAAGAAGTTACGTGAGCTAATGTCTGATGAAAAGTCTCCAGAAAAAATAAGCATTATATCGCACTATCTTGATCAGCTGCAAACTGACCCTGTTTCAGAAGAGCGACATGAACATGAGGACTGGTTTGAAGGTATGTTCCAACATTGGTATGTGTACCATACAATTGTTAGAGTTAAATTTCATCACAATTTCATGCCTCTGATTTTTAAAACAGTTTACAGTATATTGTTAGTTTGCCAAATTTTAAAATATATATTCTCCCTATACAGTTTTTTTGAAAGAAATGTGTATGTCACTACATTGATGAAATTGTAATTTAATTTAAGGACACTTTTGGTGGTCTAAAAGATTATAGTTATGTTCAATCTTTTATTTCAATAACTTTTTCTTTAAAAAAAACAGGTGTGGACAAAAAATTTAACAAAAAATCTGACTTCATGAGAAATGCTGCCCAGCAGAGGATAAGGAGCTATTACACAAGTGTAAGGAATATTTCAAAAATATCTCTTTTCATATATTTTATCTGATAAGATTTATTTTTGCCTGCGTCTGTGTGCTAATATTTACATTTTAAGTCTTTGGTATATATATTTCTTATATTATAAGAATCCTGATTGTTGCTTCTGGGAATTTTATGTTGCGCGCTTATACACAGAATTACAGCTACAACACATACATACCTAGAGAATTATTATTTGTGATACTGTGGTGGAGTTATCTATTAACAAGAATTTCTTTATTTCCTTTTTTTTTTATTGCCAGGCTAAAGATCAAATCAAAAAAGAAAATGATCCCTGTGTTAAAGCTTGTTTGGATGAAGTAATGAATAAACTAAATGAAGAGTTGAAGAGAAATAAATTTCATGGTGACTATTTTGATCGCACTGCATCAAAGAATAAAATTTGTGACAAGAAGGGTTGGTTTACATGTGAAGGTGCATTTGACGAAGGGTCTTGTTCAAGTTTCCACAAAATCAACCCTTACGCTTCCAGGGGATTCAGACACATGTTTGGATTGTGGAATCTTGATCACATGTGAGTTTTTAAGAAACCCTGTACAGAGCAGTCAATCTGCATCAGTTATTAATTTACATCAATTAAATTGTAAGCATTTAATTTTAATTGAAGGCTTTACATATTTATACTATATTCATCACTTATTTTCTGCAGTGTTGAAAAGTCTCGAGAAGTAATACCCAAACTGATAAAAGCTGCCCAGAATAAACGCAAAGCTGAGGATATAAATTTTGATGAGGTGTACAAGTACTTGTTTAAGCGTGACAACTTGAGGTTAGTGTATATTGGGTGTCATAAAAAAGCTGCAAGGGAACAAACTATTAGTTTTGATCAATTCTATGTCAGTCGACAAGAAACTTTATTAAATGACATTCCAGTTATTTAGTATATAATAAATATAAGAATAATGAATTCAGACAGATTCTTAGCAGTTTAGGTTTTATACATTAATTTTTAAAGAACATAATGTTTATAATTTACTAAAGAGTTTACAATTCTATACAGCTGTACTAAAAATTATTTTAAATTAAAATATCTAACTCTAATGCATAAATTTTTTACACTTTAATCAAATATATATACTTGTATTTTTACAAATTCAATTGTATCTTCATGGTTATTAAAAAATATGTATATTGGAAATATGTATTGTATTTAATTGAAGTAGTAAAATGCTTACTTTTTACTTAATAAATAATGATTGATGTGTAACTTCTTCAACCTCATAGTCATAGACATACAAGATTGCATAATAAGTTAATATTATAGCTTGTAAATTCTGATTAGTGCAAGAACATTCACTAGAATATTAAAGGGACATTATCACTAGGACTAAATGTGAGGAAATGAAATTGATATTCATGTTTTTAACAATTGACTTATAATTTAATGGTGGGGGTGGTGTGTGGGTGTGTTTGCTGTTGATGTGAACAAGTAATAAATTTAAGCCTATGCCTAATGCAGATAATCCCAGCCCTATTTAGGATCTCTTTCCTAAAGGTTTGTTTTAATTTGCTTTATTTCACAAGGCCAGGTTAAACAAATGACATTTATTGTAAGTGTTACTCATTAATTAAGGTTATGCATTTTTAAAACATTGTTTTATAAGGGTGACATTTTTTTTAAAATTTATTAGCATCGTGCCATAATTTGTTTGCAACTATCATTTTGTCTCTCAATTTGCTCATCTAGGTAAAGATGGGTTTCATGTATATATACACATCATTTTAGTGTTCCATTAATTTCATGAAGAAATATGTAATGTAATAAATCCATAACAATTTTACAGCTGTGCCTGCTCAATTACAAATGACAAACATGTGTCAACAATGAATTTTTCTCTTTGCAATTTTCTGTTAGCCTTCCATTTACCTTTAAAGTGTCTTTTTTTAAACCAATTGAATGGTTTCTTTTATAAATTTAGTGAGGAAAATGTTTGTTTTAAATTAGTGATGTTGTTAAATGTGCCTTTTAAATGTAACTGTTTTGTAAATACAAGTAAAATAATGGTCATAGTGTGATTATTGGCCTGCTCACTGTAACCGTAATAATGTTGAAATTATGGAGTTTAGGTGGGTTTTTTTTTCTTTTATAGGTGTAATGATACACAAATTTTGCTGTTACTTGCTTAAATTGATCATTTTAAAGATTTCATGGATTTCATAGGTAATAAACGTTTGGCTGTTTAAAGTTAAATTGAATCCAGAGTTTATATAAGTGCAAAGCTTGTTTAGAAACTGTTTGATAGCTTATGATTGGAATGGAGTAGTAACTTAAATTCTTTGATTACAATGTCATAATGTTTCACCTTCTAATTGAAATTAACCCATAAAAACAAAGTTTTTCATATAAATTCTTTGCATTTTTTTATTTCATTTATGTAATTGTATGTGATTTATCATTTATGTTATTGTAGCAACTGATTTTTTGGTATGGAGCATAGCAACACCTACACAATTAATCTCCACACCAAAACACGAAAAAAATCAGGAAAAAAACTGATTTTTGGTGGTGGGGGAAGGAATGAAAATTTGATAGAATGTGTTGTCATGGGCAACCAGTCTAAGTGCCAAGTTTCGCCTGGATGGGATGACAGGAAGTTTATCAATTAGCTTTTCGAAGATTATTCCACCACAAAGAAACACACAACAAAAAGTGAAGTTAATATATAGGCTTTAAACAGAAAATGACCATTTATGACTCAAAAAAAATATATATAAATATATTTATGTATATAACCCACATTCAAGAAGAGACCCTCATGCTGTAAAATTTGGCCAAGTAGAAATGAAATATTTAAATGTGTTTAATTTATATATTTTAAACAAAAGAGAACAAACACAAAAACCTTGTTCTTGTCCATTTAACTCTGTTGAAGACAATCTGATAACAAGCTAAGAGGGTTCAAAATTATTACAATTTTTCTAACTATTCTAAAGGAGACAAAGCACACATGTTGTTTTTTGGTTTTTTTTTTTAATTTTATTGCAAGATAACATTTAATGATTTTTTTCTAATATGGTAACAAAAATGGGGTGTTTTCTTTCACCAATAATTGCACTTCATAAACAGATTCAAGACGGATCAGGCCTTAAAACTTTCTGTATAAGGCTACCAATATCTTCATCCTGATAAAAAAAAAATGAATAAAAAAAAAATGTTAAGTCTTGCTAAAAAAATTACAATGCAAGCAGTAATTTTTAATCATCTCATATATTATATATATTTTGCTTCTGGTATGTCATGCTTTCTTTTCACAACCTCCCCCTACTCAACTTGTTTATTAATAGTACTGAGTGGGGGAAAAAAAAAGGGTGTCGCTCAGCGAGTGTCATGCGTAAAGGTTGAATATTTTTCTATTATATTAATTAATATAGAGCCATGGGTATGGTATAGGTCTGTGTGTTGGCCTATTGTTTAAAGGCCGGCAGGTAGGGTGTAAGACTGTATGTAGGCTATTTTTAATGGAAAAGGAAAATGGAACTCTTTTCTGTAACACTAGGAGCCACTGGGTATTTTCTCAAAATACCTGGACCCGGTGTAAAAATACTGCACACGGTTCAGCCCCAGTTTTAAATATTCTGCTACAACCCCTAAAGAAATGTGAAGGACACTGTGCAAAATATTTAGAAATTATAAATATTTAAATTAAAGCATGATCAGATCAATTGATTGTGATCACAAAAGTTAATGCCTAAAACTAAAATAGCTTAACCGCATCACAGCCATACTCCAGTTAATGTTATAAGCATGTGGCTCCTAAATCTCTTTAGCCACATACCCTTCATTTTTTAAAAATTTATTTTAGTTCAACATAATTTATCACTTGCCCGTTAAACAGAAAAGAAACAGATTGCATTTATGAGCTCTCCTTTTAGCCCCACTCCTGATCACAATTAATATCACATGTCCAGACCTAAGTATCACATACATGGTTTTTTTAAATTTCATAAATAATCCTGTTTATTTTTGTTGACAATTAAAGTTTTATGTTTCATTCTGCCTGAAATGGGCTTTGCCTTGCTGGTGTTTTTTTCTCTGCTTAATCCATGGCCAAACCCTTATCACGAAAATACAACATTGCAAGATCTGAACCTGCGGCCTCATCTACTCACTTCAAATAACATTAATCCTACATACCTGATGAGACCAGGACACCAAAATGTTTTTGCTATCTTCTTCTCCTGACACTTTCACTAACACGGACTCACCAACAGTAATGGAGCCATCATTTGAAAACTGGACAGCGCACTTGGGAAATTCTCTTATGTCAGAAGAAGAAAGTTAAAGGTCAGGGCCACTAACTATAAAGAATGCAATGGACAGATGGTGAGAATAAAATAGTCTTTTTTTTTAAATGGAACTGCAAGTTAGAAATAGTAAAATTTAAAATAAATAACTTTCTAAAAAAATGTATATCATGCAATAGATAATTTGATTAATTTATCTTAGTTACTATTCAAATTAAACTGCCCTGCTTGTAACAGCTCCATTGAGTGAACTCCAAAAATATAAAGAGAAACTTTGACACCCTAGTATAAGAAAAGCATATGTGTTAAGACTATATAAACTACAACAGTAAAAAAAATATACATACCTTTGCAGAATTCTATAAACCCTGTCAATTGTGTTAGAAACTGCGCCCTCCTCTTCAAGTGTTATGTTGCATGTGAACCGTAGTTCATATTCCTCCAGACCCAGTTCTCTAAACGCTGTAGCTGGTTCGGCCAATTGCATTCGCTGAGGGTACCATTTTATAGCATAAAATTATGTTAATTGTCACAGATCGAATATTTAAATATCAATTTTGTTTCGAAAAATAATGGATTGTTTTGTTAAGTAGAAAAAACAGGAAGTGAAGGAATTATGGGATGAAAGAAGACCAACGGTGACGGTTGGAGATATTTTTATTAGCGCTTGCTACGATCACCTAGTTATTGAACAACATCTTAATGTTGATTGTGAAGTGGAAGAAGTTATAGGAAGAATTATATTTTGCTCTGATCTACAGAGATATTATTTTATTATGTGTTTGTTGATCAGTCAATAAATGTCGTGATGCTAATTCAATGAGTTCTCTGGCTCTGGTAATTGTTTGGATAATCATGGACGTATGTAAATGTGGATGAATAGTGTGAGCGATAACTACAACTCTACAAGTAATATCATAACCCACACATTTATGATCGTTATAAATGGTGTCAGAAGTCTAAAGAAACTACCCCTACATCAGTCACAAGACATTAAACATAAATTTTCAATGACAATTACAAGATACATCAAATTGAAGGCTATTTTTAGAGCTGATTAATATATATTTGTAATATAATTGTTTTCTTAGTGAAGCAATACCTCTAAACGTAACTTTAGCCAGAAGCAAACTTTATTTCAGAAAGCTTCTTATTGAATAAATTATTATAGCTCTGCACCATGTCACCAAAGGTTTTATTTTCTTTAATAGAAATAGTTTAAAACCATTAACATTGAATTTCTATCACCTTGTCAATTTAAAAAAATGTAAATTTTCATTAGATTTCCTTATCATCGTGGTAATGAAACATTTCAGTGTCACAAACCCCAAGGAATTATTTGAATTTCAGCAGGGATTGATTGCCCAGTTATTGATTACCATCTTTTCAATATTTTAAATTTGTATACTTTTGCGGACCAGCTAAGATAATAATGACTAATAATCACTTATAAGGAAATATTACTTACACTTCCCTTCATCAGCAGGGCTCCATGTAAAACTTTCAAGTGTTTTGGGTCTGGCTCCTCTGATTCTGATTCAAATAATAACGTATAATATAATATGAAATCTATTTTAAAAATATTATAAGCTTTCCTTATTTATTTTTTTAAATCCACTTAATGTAAGAGAATTATTTAGCCTATTTAAACCATTTTATCCACACCCAAATAAATGTTATCTTACCCAGACTGATAAGGTTAAAATAAATTAACAAATGAAAATTTTCAACGCTAAATTTAAAGCAGCCATTCTTCCAGTGTCTCCAAAATAAAATAAAAATACCTAGTTATAAGAATATTCTCATGCCAAAGTACCAATGTATTTTTTCACTATGACAGATATGATGTTCTCATTATATGCATACTACTATCACTCTCGCACAATAAATGTTAATTTAGAGAGGAGATCCTAAATGTTTACCATCAGCAGGGACCAACTGCCGCTTTAGCAGGTTTAATGATGTATCAAGAGGAATGTTATGTTTTGTCTTTATGATGCTGGTTTCTCCATTTTCTGGCATAAAGCAATCAATGCCTGAAATAGCATAGAATTGGAACTAGTTTCTCAGAAATTAGGTATTATTAAACACATTTTTAAAAACTAATTGAAATAACTTTGTATGCATGCAATCATATCAGCTTATTCAGAATATAAATTTTACAATTGATGGGTGGAATGTCAATTTTTTGAAGTATGGTGGTTAGAAAAAAAGTTATAAAATACAGATAAACTAAAGTAGATTACCATTTAAATAAGAATATTTTACAGAAAAAAATGGTAAACATCTATTACCAAATTCTTGCTGAATCTTGTTTTTGAGAAACACCATTTTCTCCCCCTCACCGTGTACCAAGAGGACATTACGAGGTTCACAGTGAGATATCAGTTGCATTATGCCTTTGGCATCTGCATGTGCACTAAATGACATGTATTCTACAGCCATCTTGACCTCAATCTGCCAACAACAAAATGCACTTCCATTGATGTTTTTAAGGACAATGAGTTAAACAATGTAACAGGAGCTTGAATTAAAAGATAATAAATGACATGTATTCTACAGCCATCTTGACCTCAATCTGCCAACAACAAAATACCCTTCCATTGATGTTTTTAAGGACAATGAGTTAAACATGTAACAGGAGCTTGAATTAAAAGATAATAAATGACATGTATTCTACAGCCATCTTGACCTCAATCTGCCAACAACAAAATGCCATTCCATTTGATGTTTTTAAGGACAATGAGTTAAACAATGTAACAGGAGCTTGAATTAAAAGATAATAAATGACATGTATTCTACAGCCATCTTGACCTCAATCTGCCAACAACAAAATGCACTTCCATTGATGTTTTTAAGGACAATGAGTTAAACATGTAACAGGAGCTTGAATTAAAAGATAATAAATGACATGTATTCTACAGCCATCTTGACCTCAATCTGCCAACAACAAAATGCCATTCCATTTGATGTTTTTAAGGACAATGAGTTAAACATGTAACAGGAGCTTGAATTAAAAGATAATAAATGACATGTATTCTACAGCCATCTTGACCTCAATCTGCCAACAACAAAATGCACTTCCATTGATGTTTTTAAGGACAATGAGTTAAACATGTAACAGGAGCTTGAATTAAAAGATAATAAATGACTGGTATTCTACAGCCATCTTGACCTCAATCTGCCAACAACAAAATGCACTTCCATTGATGTTTTTAAGGACAATGGGTTAAACATGTAACAGGAGCTTGAATTAAAAGATAATAAATGACATGTATTCTACAGCCATCTTGACCTCAATCTGCCAACAACAAAATGCACTTCCATTGATGTTTTTAAGGACAATGGGTTAAACATGTAACAGGAGCTTGAATTAAAAGATAATAAATGACATGTATTCTACAGCCATCTTGACCTCAATCTGCCAACAACAAAATGCACTTCCATTGATGTTTTTAAGGACAATGGGTTAAACAATGTAACAGGAGCTTGAATTAAAAGATAATAAATGACATGTATTCTACAGCCATCTTGACCTCAATCTGCCAACAACAAAATGCACTTCCATTGATGTTTTTAAGGACAATGAGTTAAACAATGTAACAGGAGCTTGAATTAAAAGATAATAAATGACGGTATGCGCTCAAGCTGTGTGGAGGAAATAGTGGAACAAGGTATGTTAAAGCTTGGAATGAAAAGACAGGACAATGGCTTCCCTACAACATGAAGAACAATAGATGCTGTTTTCTATTACTTTGTTGTTTCTTGTTTTGTCCTGTCTGCTGAAGAAGGCTTTTAGCCAACATGCTCTGCTTTTATTGTCCTGTCTTTTCATTTCAAGCTTCAACATACCTTGTTCCTCTATTTTCTTAAATTAAAAGCAGATGTTTAATAGGTACCGGCAATAGGCATTTGTAATCAATTTACACCTTTAAGTTTTTAAAATGAAATTATTGCCATATGTCATTTCAAACATTGGTTTGACTACATATGAAAGGGTTAAAAAAATAATAATAATTCCACATTCTTTTCCAACAAAGATTGGATTAAATCAAAAGTATCCCCATATCTTACAGCTTTGCATATCCCATATAGAAAATGGGAGAATTTATTGATTAACTTACCACTTGTTTATTTTCCATTTCAATTTTTCTGGCTCCATTTAAGATCCTGTGACCTACAGTCCCAGCTACACAGTATCCAGGCATGATCACCTAATGAAAAGATAATTTTAGAACAATTAATAAAAGTTGGCTTCAACTTCAACCCATTGCTTTTATATTACTAATATATATGAAGGGCTCAAGGGAAAAACCAGTGATGTCAGGTTTTGAGAGTTTTGAGAAAATTGAATTTAAAGTTGGAAAATTCCTCATAAAAGTATGAAAATATCAAGATGTCTACGTATTTATTTATTGACTACGCTGCTTTTTTCAGTTGGACCTATGTATCATATTATGCTATTAAATGGAATGTAAACACAAGGGAGATAACATAGAAATTTTGAAAAACTGACATCGAAAAACTGACATCACTGGTTTTTCCCTTGATCCCTTCATATGTTTTCAATAAGCCATAATTGACAAGTACGAACAAGGATTAATGAAAATGTCTATCATCTTACAAGTTTTCATTACACGTTTATATAACATTGCATGTACCATGTTGTTTTCATTTGGTGCCCAGCGTTTGAATATCTGCAGGGACAGTCCAGCATGCAACATTCCTGGTGTAGCAAACACAACCATGGCCCCTGGGTTGTCAATGTAAGCCCTGTCAAATGCCTGCAAAAGTGAAGGAGCCAGGTGATCAGACCAACAATACACCACAACTCAGATATCTGCTTTATATTTCAAACATTAAGTATAAGTAACTGAAATAACTTTTAAAATATTCAAAAAGACTTTATGAAAACATTTCAAATAAAAAAATTTGTCCAGTTTAGATATTTCCTATAAGATGTAGTTAATAGAATTGTGTTTAAATATTTTGTTTGGGTCCTTAAAAATAAATGAATACATGTACTGTTTTTCAACTGACATGCAAAACAGTAGATACATTTCTTAAAAGCTAGAAGGATTTTTTATATCAGCTTTTACCTTAATGTGTTTGAATTCAAACATATTTCGCTGGACAAAGGTTTTTTTAATTTTCTGACTGGTCCAGGTGATGTACAGCTTGTAATAATGGTTTGCCTGAAGATAAGAATGTGTAAAAAAAAAAAACATGTGAATTCATTTGTTTTTTTACTAAGCGTAACACACATCAATGTAATATATTAATGAAATTTAAAAATTTTCTAGTGAAGAAATAAATCCTAGGTTCCTAGCAAACCTTTTCTGTGAGACCTAGGGAGAAGTAGATGGGAACTTTAAGATTCATGCGGTCCCAGTATGACTCTAACAGGATACACAACTCCTGGGCTCTGCCAAGGGCAAATACTGGAATCAGGACCTACAACAAATAAAAGATAATCTTCGTAAAAACTCAAGAAATTAGAAACTCTTCAGAACTCTTTCACCTGCAGAGCAATTAAATTTGTTCACATTACAACTAAAATAAGCTTGTGTTATCAGTTATCAACAACAATAACAAAAAAAGAAAACCGTTTACCCCTGCCACTCAAAATAAGCTTATGAATTATCAAAAATTATATAAATAAACAAGACTAGCCAGTTCAGGTCTAAATGACTGAGTTCCAAGTTTTCCTTAAAATGTTTGTGATGGTCGAAAGTTGAAACTGCAAGCTGATTAACAGCATGTGTCATGTCTGATGGTTTCAGATGACACGATTGTAGTGCGGCCTCATGCAGGTTTGATGGATGATACATTTAGGGCACATGGAGACGCAAAATTGTTTTCACCTTTCCTCCCTTCTCCACACAGCTGTGGACTTTTTTAAGGAAGTCTCTCTCCCTGCAGCGTTTTGAGTCTCGAATTGTTGTGGCATAAGTTGACTCTGTGATCAGTAGGTCAGGCCGACACTTGTCAATCCAAGCAGCACCCAGGTGTCTGTCAGGTGTCATGTTGTAATCACCCTAAAAAAATCAAGAGGTTGAAAAAAGTAATTAAAAGTTTGTTATAGGAAAAAACTCAAAAATGAAAAATGATAACATTACATGAATAGAAATTCTTTGGGGACTCGGTATTGCATGAAATGGCCTGCTTTTCGCTTTTTTAAATTTATACTTAACTAATCGGTCAATCTTTTTAAAAATTTCATAATGTCCATCTTAATATTTAAAACACCATGATCATTTGGTTATTTCCCACAAGTATGATAGAATGATGCAGTTCTATTACCAAATTTTAGACCAAAAATAGTACTCCCTACCAAATACAAAAAGACTTACTGTATAAACAACTGAGCTCTGACCAACTCGAATTTGAAACATGGCGGCTCCTAGTACATGACCGGCATAGTAGGGTTTAATTTCTAGCTCATCATCAACCTATAAGACAAAGTGTACTTTTCAGATAAGCTCAGAGGAAATCAAGGATTGATCAGCAATGCAGTAATATAGTTACCATGTAGGGATATGCACTTCACTGCAGTGGGTAATTTGTTCTATTATTTAAAATGTGATAAAAGAAATTGCAATCTTTAAAACAGAGGTTCATATCCTTAAATAAAATGGTGCACCGCCACATATAATGTAAAAACACACTTGTGCATATTTTAAATATTTTTGGAAATGTTAAATTTGACTGTGCCTTATTGCCATTTTTATCAATGTATGCAAATAAGGTATAGACAAGACTATATTGTGACTTTTGGTTTATTCATGTTTATAGATCAAACTTAATGTTCATCCTATCCCAAGACACTTTAATGGCACTGATCAATGAGACACAAACAGTTTGTGTAAATAAAACAAAATAGGTTAGGCTTTAGTTATGGTCACACATAATGCAAATGTTCCAGCAAATGCCTTCATCAGTACAACAAAAAACATTGATGTAAGTAAAAATTAAATTTACATAATGTATGCTTCCCCCTAAAAATGAAAGAAAAGAATAAGAATGTTTTATTTACACAAACTGTTTTTGTTTCATTGATTTACTTGAAAGCTTTATCGCATTCCAACACTGTTATAATGGCAACGAGGTTTTTTTTACATGGATAGGATTATTTTTTAAATACTTCCTTAATTCCTTCTAGATAACACTGCCAACTTTTTGTAGAGATTTCTGATTAAATGGATGTAAAAGTGGGAAACCAAGAAAACTGACCTGAATAACTTGATGGAGATTGACTGTGATGACCTTTTTCATGCATGTTTTAATCATCTCTGATGTAAAGAAATTGGTCTCTCCTTTTCTTTCAACAGTAATTTTGCGATAGTCCTCCTGTCAAATAATAAACAATGAAACATAATTTGAGCGACACACCTAGCTAATTTCAAGTAAATCAGAATGGTAGCTTTAAGGAGACCGTTACCAAGTAGTAGCTACAATTTTTCCAGCATAAAAATAATATTCCAATTGTAAAGAATTGCAGACAGGCTAAATTTTCTATTCCCATCCAACAAATGAGTATTTTTCTCTTATATTTTTGTTCTCTCATCAAGAAAGTTAAAAGTATATACTGCTTTAAAATAAAAAAAAGTAGCATAAATTTTACTTATTAAAAAAAAAGGTTTAAAATAAAAAAATTAATTATCATGGACTCATCATGGTTTATAATATAAATTATTAAGGATTCAGATAAACGTTTCAAACCTACTGTCTGTGTTGTAAGCAAAATAAATAAAGTCATCTATTTATAGTGAATATAATTACCAAGAGTATAGGACAAATGGCTTTGGTTGGATGAGTCATGTACACAGGTCCATCATAGCCAACCATTTCTGTCATGTATGGTAGAGCACCACAATGATCTAGATGAAAATGGCTGAAAATAAAATATTTTTAAAAAGTGCTAGAATTAATCTGCATCCAAATCACAAAATAACAATCATCAATTTTAATTTCAAAATGTTTTTAACATTTAAATATTAATAACATATTGCCATGCATATTATTTATTTTTTTTAAGTGATACACGAAGCTACCTCTTGTCACGTACCTGATAATTACACAGTTAATTCTATCAGTAAGTCGCCCTTCTCTAGCAATGTATGTGAAGTCAGGAAAGCGCCTCTAGGAAAATATAAATGTTACAAAATAATATCTGTAAATTATTGTTTGCCTGCCTAAAAGATTCATAAATTATTTTACATATAAACTCATGCACTGTTAATTTCTTATAAATAAAAACACTAAAAAAAATGTCAAAAGCCAAGAGGATCCAAACCAGAAGGAAGACATATTAAGTGGAATAATTATGATTTTCAATACATTTCTGTCACTTTCTATATAATCTGTCATCAGCAAAACTTAAGGTGCTGGCCAGTGTACTATTTGGCTCGAAACGCCAAACTACTATAGGGGATCATTTGAAAGATGGATACCCATGGATTCCAGATTCTAACTTACAGTTTGTGGTTTAAAACACGTCATATTAGCATTGTCATAAACAAAATTTATAATTTTACAATAATTATTTATGAACTTACGTCATCATTGTAACCCATGTGCATCCCACAATCCAGCATAATATTTTTGCCACCAATGCTGATAAGAATGCAGCTGCGGCCAACATCTAAATGTGTTAAAAGCACAAGGAATAATCAAGGAACATAAAACAAACATCACACCATATTCATATGATTAAGTAAGGGTATTAATCTGTAACAAAGAGAGCAAAATATTGATGGTAAAATTTAAATCAAAGCACCACAAGTGAAAGAGAACAATATTGTGTTATAATAGAAGGGCTTGCTTCTAATTTTCTTAAATTTTGCTATATCAACTTTTTGAGAAAAATGGGTGGGCTTGGTAAAATAATGTGTGTAAATGGCATAAGTTAATAATGCTTTTGAATGAGCGATAACTTTTTTTCATGCTTGATAATAAAATAATGCCAACTTACCCTGACCAGCACCTGTTTTTATTGTATATTTTAGGAAAAGAAAAAATGATTTTAATACCGACATGGAAACAGCATAGTAGAAATTTCAAATTTTATAATTATTCTGTATTTTCAAAATAAAGCAAATGTTTCATTTATAGACCTCCAAATTGTGCATGTGCTTATGCTACATTGCTGCTTGAGTCAAGGTAAAATTCAAATGATTTCTAGTTTAAATGTTAAAATTGTTTAATGAATTACGCTTTGTTGATAGGCCTATATAGCTATATAGGGATACAAGTGTTGCAACAAATATTGCTAATACAGCGGCACTGTATAGTAATACAGCGGCGTATCTAGACTAAATGCTGCCCACGAAGGCAAACTCCCAAAAGTGTATCCCCCCACACACACACATCATTTACATAATGTTTTATATAAAATCCAGAAGTGCCGCCGGGGAAATTAATATTCTTCTCCTCATCCTAGATACGCCACTGCTATTAATACTATTATCATTTGCATATATTATATTAGAAAATGGGCCTATCTTTCTATGCACCTTTTTCTGGCATGTACCGCATTTTACAGACTATGAGAAAAATTGCCTCCAAAATTCAGGTGCGTCGTATACTCTAAATTATTATATAAATGGTAAAAATGTTGTTATTTTTTTTTAATTGCTTAAAAATTAAGGTGTGTCTTATAGTCCGTAAAATATGGTAATATCTAGCAGTAGCATTATTGCTAAACATTATTTTATTGTAAAAATAGACTTAAATAATATTATGCTATTTTTTTATTGAAAAGGGCATTAGGCATTCAAAAATTAAAATGAAAGTAAAGCGCTTTTTAAAAATAATAGGTCTATACTTGATTTTAAAATAATCTCACTTTATCAGGCCTATAAATTATAATATATGCAGTAGAGTAGGCACGATCATGTCGCTAATGAATGCTAGTGACACTTTTTACCATGGTAATATACATTTTTTTCGCTGTTCTATATTTCATAAATGTATTTTATTTTAATGTCATGATTATGTCTCTTTAGATAAAATTTTTATGTACAGCGTGGTGAGCCCTGCCCTAGGCTGGGGTACCGCGCTATATAAGACCTCTTATTATTATTATTATTATTATTAATATAAATAAGATTGTGAATCATTATTGTCAAGTTATTTTTTACAAATGGACTCTAAACGGTTTGAAGTAAAATCTGGAGACAAACAGGGTTCTTCATAATATTTAAGGACAAAATCACAAAAGATGCAATCTAAATCTCAAGACATTTAGTAAATTGATATTTTTTGATGACCAATACATCCCAAACAATAACAAGGAAGCAGCAGAGCCATGTTGACAGTTGATAGTCTGAACAGCACAAGCAAAATTTATGGAATGAAAATCAACAAAGAAAAGACTGAGGTCATATCATTAGGTGGTACCCCACAAAAACTGGACATTACTATCAGTGTTCAGCTGCTCCATCAACACCAAAGTTTAAATATATGGCATGGTCATTATGGTAAGCATTTTCCCTGAATAAAGAAAAATAGATAGAGGGATCGAGACAAGAGTGAAGAGGGTGAATGCAGTCAAATACCATAAAGCTTTGATAATAAGACACCCTAGAAAAAATACGGAGAACAATAGTAATACCTACCAGTGTTAGACCTGGCTTCAAAATGGAAGTATCAAGGAAAAAATCTTCAAAAGTGAGAAAGAACCAAAATCGGAACAGGACTTAAAACAAAATCAGCTAGTATATGGCCCAAAAAAAGAAAATGGTTGGGCCATCTGGTCAAAATGCCTGTCACTGTCAACCAACCTGCATTGCAAGCTTACAGTAGCAGGCACTCCAGTTTCAGGGCCAGAAAAAGGCCATGCTGTTGGTGGATCAAAAGTCCAAAACACAAACTGTACCTCAATGTAATGCCTCTCCCCGATAAAGTGTGCAGAAGAAGTTAAGGGACATTGTCATTAGTTTAGTTAGACTACATTGTACACTCACACAGTGCTACACATAAACTAAAACTCAGCATCATTCTTCTACAGAATACTAGAATAGCCTACAATAGTCATACATTAGGCATACCCTGTCACTTCAACTACATACACTGACAGTACCACTAAATTTTGAAAAAAGAAAATAGTGGAACTGACTCCACAAAATCAGCAATTTCATAAAAATTGTATTTTTTTAGGTTAGCCAACCAAGTAACCAAGGCCTACATTTTTAAACAGTCTATCACTCTTTAATGTTATTTAAATAACAAAAACCCACCTAATGGCGTTACTTTGATGTCTGTCATATTTATTCTCTCTTCTGTAGATATTGGGGGAAAAAAAGAAAAGAAAAACGTATATTTTTTAAAAATTGTGTTTCTATTTTGACTTTTGTCAGTGACTGACTGTAGTACTGATGATACTGTGTCCAATCCAATGTCCAATGCCAATACCGAAAGTAGGGTCCACTCTAGTCCAGACTTAAAAACTTTATTTCAGTTTCATACTGACGCACTCATCTCTGAGAATCTCAACATCTCTTTTTTTTATTTTTTTTATTCGTTCTATAAAAGAATTTATCTATATTTATCGCAGTATGTTTTCATGTATCCAAACCTTTACTGCAGGGTTTTGCGTCTCTATTTCAATTGTAATTTGTTTCGTCGTGATTAGAATTTTGCAGTTATTGATTATGGTGGCTCTAAATATGGTACTGTATGATGTGTTATTGGTATGTTCACGACTCTCTCTCTCTCTCTCTCTCTCTCTCTCTCTCTCTCTCTCTCTCTCTCTCTCTCTTTCTCTGTATGTGGGTGGGACAGTGGCGCGGGGGGGGGATGGTGTGGGTGTTAATTTTGCAGTTATTGATTATGGTGGCTCTATATATGTTACTGTATGTTGTGTTATTGGTATGTTCACGACTCTCTCTCTCTCTCTCTCTCTCTCTCTCTCTCTCTCTCTCTCTCTCTCTCTCTCTTTCTCTGTATGTGGGTGGGACAGTGGCGAAGGAAGGGGATGGAGTGGGTGTCAGCCCCCGGGTGGCATTTTTTTCTTTGTATTGAGGGGCAGTATTCTCTGCCAGCTGCAGAGTCTCTTCATATAGGGGTGGGAGCGGGGGCGCAAAACTCTTGATCTTGAAGGAACGTGATAATATATATTGTACGCTAAGTGCTTAAAATGTAAATGTCTATAACATAGCCTATGTGCAAAACGCAATTATTTTAAATGACAACTTCTAAGTGGGACAGTTTGTGACCAGGGGAGGGGGGGTCACATTTTTATAAAATAAAACCTCAAATTGACTGTGGTGTTGAACTTTCTGTTGTGATGGGTGTCTTCTTCTGACAGGATAGGTCACTTATGTAATTTTAATATTTTAATAGTGAAGTCTTTTTATATGAAATTTTAATTAGTTTTTAATCATATAAAACAAATTTTGGTTCGAACGTGTGGGTTACTTTGTGTGTGGGTGTGGGGGGAGTTTGCTGAGGTTTGTGACATTTTGTAACAGGGGGAGGGAGGGGGTATAATTTCCCAAATTATCGTTCCGCACATTATGGACGGCCCCTTATTTTAGTAACCTTAATATCAATAAAATAGGCTATTGCATACACAATAGATCAGTGGCAAACCTAGTAACAGGGCTAGCCATAAATGGCATCACACATTTTTTTTATTTGTGTTGTTGTTGTTAAGGTAGGGTGTGTGTAGGGTTACGAATTTGTGAATAGGACACTTAAATTATGTAACGATTTTATTTTAATAAGGGTACCGTGGTACCCTTCCCTTCCCACTGACGTCCCTGCTTAAAACTCTTGAGCAGGAGATGGTAGGCTAAATCTAAGGTCTGTGAAGTTCTCAAAAATGTCTAAGGCTGATGGTCGGTCCAGCAGACGTGACAGAGGCTAGCTACACGATGATGTGGTTTGTTTCCTTGTCTTGCGTTAGGGCTGCACAGTTGGTGAAGAGCAGTCCTCGGATGAGTACTCTTGTGGAAAAAACATTTGGATAGAGGAGGATACTGTAGAACAGCTTTCCAATCAAACCCATTGTGTATGTTTACCTTGGGCCTTGACGAGGATTTTTTGGGTCACGAGGAAAACCCTATTTTGGGCCACCACAAATTTCAAAATAGTTGGGGAGGGGGGGGGGGGAAATTTA